TGTTGTCTGAACTCCCTGCTGAATGCAACAAAGAGTGGTTTCCTACTAGTGAATTTACATCAATGAATGAGGAATTTTACCATTGTGATAATTATGACAGTATAATAATAACTGTTAATCACGTAATCAATGTGGGTTGATGTGTCCAATCTTCAAACTTTGTCGTTATATTCAACAGCTGGGCAGTGAAACAAAACTAATGTACAACAGGTTCCTGTCATTACAGGAGCTACAGTCTTTATCTATATATAATAATTCACAGAATCTTTTAAAAGATAACGTTTTTTATGAAGATCTGGATCAGCTTCGCTTTCTTTAACATTGCAAGTTTTTCAACATTTTCATTGATTCCTCAGAGAATAATTCATGGATCTTGATAAAAAAACAAACCAGACATGTTTAGGGGGCTGATATTTATGAGTGAGTGTAATTTTGTGCAGATCCAAATAAAAATCTCCAGATCTGGTGAATTGAAATGTGTTCTTATAAGGAGACTGTTGGCAGAGGCACACTCTGAACTGAGAGCCCTTCTGGTTCTGTATAAAATAGTTATTAGGTGTAAAGTTGTGTTTGTAGATAATGATAAAAAAAAAACCCTGGCAAGAACCAAAGTTGTGTTTCAGATGAAGAGGAGAGTGACATATTACTGTGTTMTTTGTGAATCACTTCTAGATTTTTATGAATAAGTCTGAATAAGAATGCATAGTCGTACTCCTTCAGAGGGTGTGAGGTATAAATATCAGCTGTTGAAGAACTTGTGTCGTCTTTGTTTCTCCTCAGAAAAGAAAAATGTAAATGAGACTAAGAAACTGTCTGAGCTGGAGCCTTTCACRGACTACAGCTGTACCGGTCACATCAAGGACAACAATGTCCCCATAAACAAAACAACTGAAGTTCTCGTCCAGATCAACTGTGGTATGTAGATGTACGCTGGACGACAGCTTTTATCCTCGGATGCTGAATGACTGTGATGTCAGTACTCAGGTSTGACGTGTCCCAGCAGATCTCAAAATAACCATCACAACAATAACCTCTGACAACACATCCCTTGAGCTGACTTGGAAAACGGCCAGTGAGAATTGTGAAGCCGGGATTCCGAAGCTTTCGTACAACTGCAGCTGTAGAAGCCATGAATGGCATGGTAAATGGCATGGTGAGTGAAATATTCAGAGTATTTCTCTAATGCTTTTATTCTTCCTTGTTTCTGCARGATTTCATCTTTTAAAGTTGTCTGTTTATTAATAGTTTAAGCTGCATGGATGATATAAACTGCTTCAATGATGTTTTTGTTACTGAATGGGAAACTTGAACTAAAAAAAGAAGAAGAAAAAAAAAGATCTGTTTTTTGTTTCTATAATTTTGTGTCTGTCGTCTAGAACATAAACTAACAGCTTGTAAAACTGTGTCACAGAGAACTCACCCAGGTCTTCAGAAGAAACCTGCAAGATTTCAGGTCTGAGTCCATTCACCGATTACAACTGCCTGGTCACTGCCACCTACAACAACTTCTTACACACATCCCCTCCAGTTCATGGGAGAACCAAGGTTGGAGGTCAGTGACAAACAGAATGAAACCAGTTGTACTTTTTGGAKCACAACTAGAATGTGGAGTCAGTGGAGTTACTACCTCCTCCAAAGCCCAACAGACTCCTGATGAAACCACWTTTAAATTCACTAGATCTGGATTTTTATTTGGATCTGCACTAAAATAAATATAAGTCCACTATTTAACTTTATTGTATATTGTTTATAAGTGTTAAAATATCACTTTTGTGAGTATGCATACAGTGTTGTATATGTTTTTCTTGACTTTCTTACAGTACCAGASAAAGTTAYTCAACTGAAGCTGATGGTTAAAGAGCATAATACGATCRATGTGACCTGCAAACTTTCACAAGAGCGATTCAATGGASRTAATGGAAGWTTCAAAGCACGACTTTTGTATRATGGTACTGATCAGTTGGTCACTGAGAAGAATTCAACAGGATGTGATTTTAAATTCGACAACCTGTACTACTCTACGAGCTACAAAGTGGAGGTTTGAGTCATCCTTCTTTTTGCCGTCACAGTTTTATACCCWGTGTTTATTTGAATGCTCTAATAAGTGACAGAAAATGTTTCCATCTTTCCAGGTGTTTGCTGTCAACAGTGAGTTGGAGAGCAAACCCGAGATCAAGTCTATTTCTACTGACTGTATGTACCATTTTGATCAACGCCTCCATTTATCTAACATTGCTTCGTTAATRCATTTGACAGATTTAATTTTTTTTACACATCTATTTCTATACATTAAGTTGATGTTCTTTTCTCTTCAACCTCAATCGACAGATAATGACAAAGCTGTCATCGGTTTCCTCGTGTTCCTCATCATCTTCACATCTGTGGCTCTGCTGCTGGTCATCTACAAGATCTTCGTCTTGAAGCGCAGGAAGTCCCAGTGAGAATGATTCTGCATAAATCTTACATCAGTGTTTCTCTCAGATTGCCTCAGAGTTTTTATTTTTTTTAAGTTAAGATGAAAAAACCTGCAGATTTTGTTCCACTGATAAGAAAACATCTTATTTACGTTACAGGAAAGGTATAATTTCTGCATTTGAATTGATCTCACTTCACACAGGAACATCATCACTGTTACTCTGTATTTCATTTCATCTAATCTTTACAACCTTCACTATTTTCATTGCAGTGACCTGAGTGAGAACATGATACTTATTTCAACAGCAAGTGAGTAGATTTTGGTTTCCTGTTTTTTGTTCAGTGTGATTTTAGCAGTTAACTACTGTTTTCACATCATGAACACAGATACAATCCTTGTTAGGAAAGTTTTATTATGATTATTATTACAAATTTTCATTCATTAACTTTATTTATATACTTTTCATCACATAACATGCAGCTCAATGTGCTTACATAAAACAAAACAACAGAACAAATTAAGACAATGTATGTTAAAATAATACGATAATAAGATCATAAAAATAAGTGTTTTTTAAAACATGTCAGCAAGATAGTCATTATTTTGCCTGTTGCATTCTTTTATGTATTTCCAAATATACAGTAACAGGGGTAATGGTCACAGATTTTCCTGATATGTTTAACGTGTTTGATATTTGTTGCCGCAGATGATGAGGAGAACCTGCTGCCCGTCGAGCCGATTGCAGCAGAGGTGCTGCTGGAAGCCTACAAGAGGAAACTGGCTGATGAAGGAAGACTGTTCCTGGCTGAGTTTCAGGTACTTTTACTGGTTTGTGGGTTTTGATGACGTTTTTTTCTTTACTGTTAGATCACTGTTATATGACATTTGTTTGTGCTTTCAGAGCATCCCCAGAATCTTCTCCAGGCACGCGGTGAAAGAGGCCAAAAAGCCCTGCAATGTCCCCAAGAACCGCTACGTGGACATCTTACCCTGTGAGTGGGAACGTGTCCAACAACATGTGAAGCCTTTTTAAATAAAAGAGATAAAAAACCACTGAGCACATGAGGGAGATTTTATCCACTCCTTTTTACCATAAAGAGAAATAACATCATCAAATATCAAACAAATATCCTTGTGACTAAGGTGCATGTGTAAGATGATACACAGTAATCTTAGTATAGTTTCCATTTTGGTAATTCTTTTGAATATTTCTGGATATGTTGAACCAATGTGGTAAAATCCTGCAGATCAACCTGGTGGCTGCTTCATGGCAATATTGGATTCACAAGGACAATACATCAGTGTGAGCTATGTAGCCTGAAATTTAGGTATTAAATATAATTATAGCCATAAATATAGTGATATAGTGATAAAAAATTACACAGAGGGTTTTTATCAGGATCACCCACATGGGACATCTGTCTCCTACACACAAACTCACACATTGTGTATTTGAAGATAATAGAAGTTTCCCCTGTTATGTGTATTTCTTTTATTTGTCTGTCTTGAACCAGATGATTATAACCGTGTCCAGCTGACCACAGGAAACGGCGAAGCAGGATGTGACTACATCAACGCCAGCTTCATTGATGTATGGAACACTGATCGTAATACAACTGCTTTCCCTGTTAACGCCACGATTGCTGTGATTGAGAAGATTGAGCTTCAGAAAAAGATAAAATATGAGATGTCACATTATTAGCTCGAACTTTGATTTTGAGGGTTTAGTCGACACAAAGTTCATGTCTTTTTTCCGTCGATGAACATTTGACTTATTTTCTGACTGCAGGGGTACAAGGAAGCTAAAAAGTACATTGCAGCTCAAGGTACAATCATGTTCTCATGTTCTTTCATTCACTAAACTTGTGATGCTGCATGTTTCTGTGATACAAGTGTGTGGCTCTCTGCATGCGTTTACATTCCGTGTGTGTTGTAGGCCCAAAGGATGAGACTGTGAGTGACTTCTGGAGGATGGTCTGGGAGCAGCAGTCATCTATCATCGTCATGGTAACCCGCTGTGAAGAGGGAAACCGGGTAAGAGCGGCAGTTCTAACTTTTAGTTGGCATTGGGTGTGAGGGAAACTTTGCAGGGTGAGGGACTGAAGTTTTTTCTCAAGCAAGTGGTTAGACAGGACCAAATTAAGACAATGCATACTTAGTGAAGTCAATTGACAAACTAGACCTATACTATAAAAAAAAAAGCTTCTGATGTTACATTAATACAAAAGATTTTTTTTAATTACTAAATGAAAATGAGTTACTGTGGGAAAACGTAAAGAGCTTTTAACTCCATAACTGTCTGGTTTGAGTCTTCCACTCACATCGTAGCTACTCTTCCACATTGGCTTTACGTTTTCACTGAGTGCGTATTTGACTTTTGGGTTGTGTCACAGGTCAAGTGTGCGCAGTACTGGCCGTCTCCAGAGAGGGAGACTGAGATCTTTGAGGAGTTTATACTGAAGCTGAACTCAGAGGAACACTGTCCCGATTACACCATCCGTCACCTCATCATAACCAACGTGGGTCTCCATTAAAAGAATTGAATATTTAAAATTGTGTTAATGTTTTGTATGTGTATGGATATTTGTGATCTTAATTGTGTGTATACTTTGGTGCATGTTTGTGTGTGTCAGCAGAAGAGGGAGAAGACCTCAGAAAGGGAGGTGACCCACATCCAGTTCATGAGTTGGCCTGACCATGGCGTCCCAGCGGAGCCACACCTCCTTCTGAAACTGAGGCGGCGCGTCAACAGTTTCAAGAATTTCTTCAGCGGCCCCATTGTCCTCCACTGCAGGTACGGGTCACTCTTTTCAGAATTATGATCATCATGAACGACACTCAGTGGTAGAAAGTCACTAAACATATTCAAAGAACAAGGACGTTCTACTTCATGATCCTTTTTTACTATATTACATCTTTCCAGTTAATAGTTTTATTTCTTGTAAATATTATCAGATATTTTAATTTGTCATTTTTATTTTTATGTTTTGTTTGCCTCTCTGAATTTGCTCCTTGTGACTTCCAGAATTGGAAGAATGATACTGAAAAGCTTTCATTAGGAATCAAAGGAGTCATCAGACCATTTCATCTCTATTTCCCTATTAGAACCAATGGAATTAATGAAACATATTAACACAGTGTCCTTCTCTCATGTCCAGTGCTGGAGTGGGTAGAACAGGGACTTATATTGGCATTGATGCCATGATGGAGGCTCTGGAGGCGGAGGGCAGAGTGGACATCTACGGTTACATGGTCAGACTCCGCAGACAGAGATGCCTCATGGTTCAAGTGGAGGTAAAATAACCATTTAGATCCTATCTTGTGAAGTATGTTCACATCTGTGTGAAAGTATGTGTGTCTGATTAGAGATAAAACTTTGATGATACATTAAACCAAAATCTGCAGAGAACTGTCAGAAGATCCAGTCAATTCATCAATATACAGAGAGTTTATAAGAAAATGTACATATGGACAGGCAGGAAATAATCATGTATCATAAGCAGACACACAGTAATTCTGAGTTTACTGAAGTTTTGTAAAAATCAAACGTAATAATGTCATTTTTATAGACATTTTTTAATTTATCATGTTTTTTATTGACTATGATTTGAATTGTGTATCTTTTGTGTATAAAGTACATTTGTCCTCACGTAGGCCCAGTACATCCTGATTCATCAGGCTCTGGTGGAGCACAACCAGTTCGGAGAGACTGAGATCCCTCTGTCCGAACTCCACAGCATCCTGAGCACACTCAAACTGAAAAGCTCTGAGAGCGAACTCACCCTGATGGAGGAGGAGTTTGATGTATGGCACTTTTTTATTAATACATAATATAAAGATTATTATTTTGTGAGACAGTAAAGTAAATCACCTGAACAGCATTGTGCTTTTCAGTATTCCCTCCCTCTAACAAAGGAAGACATTTTGATCCTTAACATGTTGATGATAATTTGAAAATTTCTCCTGCAATTCAGAGACTCCCCACGTTTCTAAATTGGAGGACGTTCAACACAGGGATCACTGAGGAGAACAAGGAGAGGAATCGCTCTTCGTCTGTCATCCCCTGTGAGTATCAGCTCACCACGGAGATGAATTCTTTTGGGATTTTACACGACAGAATAACAACTGAAGTAACATATCAACACGCAGATGACTACAACCGAGTGCTGCTGAAGCTCGATGAAGGACTCAGTCGTGACAGTGAAGCAGGTGAAGATGATGAGGAGGAGTCATCAGATGAAGAGGATGAAGAATCTAGTAGATACATCAATGCCTCCCATGTCAATGTATGATTATTTTTATTGCACTTTCCATTTGTTTGTCTTATGACCTCTTTCTGTGTAAAGCTGAGCAGTCACCAGGACAAACAGATTCTATTCCTTCACACAGTCTGTTTGGTTGTAAAACAGGTGTAACTAGAATGACCCTCACAAGAGCGCAGACTTTTTAATTTAAAGACCCAATGGTCCTTTTAAATTCAACCCAAACTTCACACACTTACAGATATCAGTCCTCTAAATGTGCTTAATTTTTCTCATCAAGATCCACGAATCGTTTTCAGTGGAATCGGTGAAACTGACGTCTTAGCATCTCCAAACGTTAAAGACATTGGATGAGCTCTTCACTGATCCATTCTTACACCAGGTTTGATGGAAATCCGTCCAGTGGTTTTTAACATAATCCTTCTGACAAACCAACAAAAAAGTGGACAAGGGTGAATTACTAATGTCCTTGGTGGTGATTGTGTTCATCTCTTTTGTCCGGATGATGCACAACAATAACAGTAGAGGTATTTTCTTAATCTCGCAGGGATACTGGGGCCCACGTGCCCTCATCGCAGCACAGACTCCACTGCCAGACACCATGGCTGATTTCTGGCTGATGGTTTACCAGAAGAAGGTGTCCACTATCGTCATGCTCTCAGAGGAGAATAAGGTGCCTAAAGTACTACGCACACGTGTAATTACATAAACCTTACATGAACGTAAAATACATCATACATTGTCTTTACATATATGTTCACAGGAGTCTGACACTGTGTACTGGGATAAAGACAAGAGGACATTTGGGGACTTGGAGGTGGAGGTGGCGAGTACAGACGCCAACCCGACTTTCATCAGCCGCAACCTGCTGATCCGCCATGTTAGGGTAACGCAGGAGTTCATCCATCTCTGTAGATGAGTAGTAGTAGATGACTGTAGTTTTATTAGTCATTTCAACATCACAAGTGGTTTAAAACATTACTTCTGTCAACAGAGGACAGAGAGTCGCTCGGTGAGACAGTTCCAGTTCCTGAAGTGGGTGAACAGGGAGCTGCCGGAGACACCGCAGTGTCTCGCAGACATGATGAAGGAGATCAAGAACAGCGGTGGAGGCAGTAAATCACAGACAACCGTGGTCCACTGCAAGTAAGACAACAGACACAGGAAATGCCCTCTGGAAATAAGACGCCTGAAAAGAAGGACTCTCAAAGCTTCATTCGGGGCAGAATGAAGCTTTGAGAGTCCTTCTTTTCAGACTATAATCTCTTTCAGAAGAAAAAAAAGTTCCCATCTACTTTAGTTTTTGTGTTTTGTTATTATTGCTCCGATCAAGAATAGAAATATAAACAGATCTAAATTTATGATACATTTTAATAAAGTATATAAATAAGAAGTATGTACAAGTATATGCATTTTAATTTTATAATACTTGGTTACATGTTCTCAAACTTTTACTAATAATACTTGAAAATCCTCTAAAAAGAAATTGTATTTGCTGAGTGTGACCAAAAAGCAACAAGTTTATCTATCATTCTACTGTTCTGACTTACACCACAGTATAACAGCCAATCAATGGTTTATCCCATTGTTTAAATATTTAAAGAAATCCTCATATTTTAATATTTGTGATGTTTGCTAATTTAAGGAATGAGAACATCTCGACTAATAATTATTAACAACACATGTATTATTATCTATTTCCTCATCATATATAGGTAGTGATGATAATGATAAAAAATAATAATAATAATGAGAACAGTAAATAAATGTCCATGATGACCTGGTGTAGTTGGAGGGATTGAGGGTTGTCTGTGTGCTCCCTCTCTTCAGTGACGGCTCGTCCCGCACCGGGGTTTTCTGCGCCCTGTGGAATATGCTGGACAGCGCTCAGACGGAGAAATTGGTGGATGTTTTCCAGGTGGTCAAAACTCTACGTAAGGAGAGACAGAACATGATCTCCAGCCTGGTAAGAAAGAGGAACTCTGGATGTGTCAGGAGTGTTGTAGCACACGCAAGCTCATGATTTCCTGGAAGATGTAAACCTTCGAAAACAAGTCATTTAAAAACTATATTAATTTTTAAAGCAGCTAAACATGTTGTGAATCAAGTTTTAAAGCAGCTGGGCACTTTTCTGTTTACCAATTGCTTCTCTAATTTTAAGCAGCATATTTAAGCCTCATTGAATTTACAGTAGCATGACAGTATAAGTGTGATTTACAAAAAATAAACTATGTACGTCTTTTTCATTTTCATCTTCATGGTTCAACAACAGTAGGAGTTTATCTGTGTTTTTTTGTCACGTTCTCCTCAGAAGCTCTCATTTCCTGAGTTGTGAAGTCGCTGCTCCGACCTCTGTGTTTTTATGAGCTTTGAGGTCGAAACCTGGAAAAAACATGGGCACTTTTAATAAAATGTGTCACTTGTGTTTAGAGTATTTTACAACTTGAATTGACCTTGAAACATACAAGAGATATTCACAATCTTGTCCTATATTCTAAAAAAAAATTTTCTGATTAAAAGCTCATATTTAGAGCTGGTTGTAAAATTACGTTGATTGGCTGACAAGCGATGACGTCAGAAACTCATACCAGAATGTTCGGACACGTTGCCTGATGTTGTTTGACTTGAGGTGGTGCTAATGTGAATTTTCTCTGTGGGGAGGTTATTTTTCTGATGTGATGACACCAGGTTAATGTATTACGTCACAGAGGAATCAGCTGTAGTGTATCATGGTTTGGCCTCACAGATATAAGTGTGTTTGTCTTGTTACATCACTTTATCATTTCAATCTGTTTTAGTTATAGTTTTAGTTGTTATAATTTGGGGATTTGTGTGACAGTCTGCATTGAAATCTTTACTCAACAACATGGATTAATATTCCAACCTGTGTGTCTCTCTCAGGAGCAGTACCAGTTCTTGTATGAGACAATGCAGATGGTCTTCCCCGTCCAGAATGGGGAAGTGAAAGCAGTGCAGGCCTCTCCAGCTGACTCCATCCAGATTATCAGTGAAACCAAAGCAGAGGAGCAGCCAGACAGCGCTGCCAGCAGCAAGCAGCCGGAGGCAGCAGAGAGCACTCAACTGATGATTGTGGAAGAGAAAAATGTGGAGCCTGATAAAGACTCCGGGCTGATGGAGGACACCAGCAACAGCTCCACTGTCCCTCTGGAGATCTGAGGAGCAGGGGCACGCAGGGGCTGGGCCTTTTCCTGTGGAGATATCTGCTGCAGCTGAATGCTCTCTTTTCAGTTTCTTCAGGAATGTATAGAAACTGTTAAACTCAATGTGGTTCAAGTTCTTAAGTGTTGAAGAATTTGATCAAATGTTTTAATTTTAATTTCCAAAGAGAGAAAAATATAGTTTGAGTAAGTTATAAATATTTTAGTAGCTAAATGTGTAAGGATGCAAGTGTGAACAATGTTAATGCTGTGGTCAAACTCCAGACTTTGGATTTACTGTTTATTGAAAGGTAAAAGAACAAAATTTTCAAATATACAATATGTTGTTTTATATTCCACTGTAACATGCATTTCAGTTGAGAGAGTTAGTT